TTTGATAGTGCGTGTGAGAGTTTGATAGTGAGTGCGAGAGAGTTTGACAGTGTGTGCGAGGGAGTTTGATAGTGTGTGTGAAAGAGTTTGATAGTGAGTGCGAGGGAGTTTGATAGTGAGTGCGAGAGAGTTTGATAGTGTGTACGAGGGAGTTTGATAGTGTGTGTGAAAGAGTTTGATAGTGAGTGCGAGGGAGTTTGATAGTGTGTGTGAAAGTTTGATAGTGAGTGCGAGGGAGTTTGATAGTGAGTGTGAGAGAGTTTGATAGTGTGTGAGAGAGTTTGATAGTGAGTGCGAGGGAGTTTGATAGTGAGTGCGAGAGTATGATAGTGAGTGTGAGAGTATAATAGTGTGTGTGCAAGGGAGTTTGATAGCGAGTGTGAGAGTTTGATAGCGAGTGCGAGAGAGTGTGATGGTGAGTGCGAGAGTGTGATAGCGTGTGAGAGAGTTTGATAGCGAGTGCGAGAGTTTGATAGTGAGCGTGAGAGTTTGACAGGGAGTGCAAGAGTATGATAGTGAGTGCGAGAGAGTTTGATAGTGAGTGTGAGAGAGTTTGATAGAAAGTGTGTGGGAGTTTGATAGCATGTGTGAGGGAGTCTGATAGTGAGTGTGAGGGAGTTTGACAGCGAGTCTGAGAGAGTTTGATAGTGAATGTGAGAGTTTGATAGTGAGTGTGAGAGTTTGATAGTGAGTGTGAGAGAGTTTGACAGTGAGTGTGAGAGTTTGATAGTGAGTGAGAGTTTGATAGTGAGTGAGAGAGTATGATGTTGTGTGTATATACACATACGTGTGTGTGTGTGTGTGTTTGTCATCACTTGACCTGACTAACTAACTAATTTGACATCAGGTGAACTGAGTTAAACTTTGGGTAACCTACTGTATGCTGTGTATCATTACTTACACATACCGTAGAACATAAATATCATATCAACAGAACAAATTAGGCCAAAACATTTTTGTATAGGTTTTGTATAGAAAAGGTTTTTTGTACCTGAACAGCTCAGCATGGCAGCACAGCAGAATGCTTCTGCTTTTGTTCTGCTTCTGTGTTTGTGTGTGTGTGTTTGTGCACCTGCTGTTACTTTGCTCAGCCTGGCATCACAGCGTTTGTGTGTATTCCCCCCAAAAAAGTAAGGAAATCTGGGAGAAAACCATATGGGACACTGTCAGCTCAACACAAAGATAGAAGTTTGTGTGCACATAATCACCTCTGATAAAGATTACATTTAAACAGGTAACACTATTTTTGATGTGACAAATTTTTTGTAATAGATCCAACACACTGCATGCAGCGACATTACACTAAACACTTTTAAGACTTCAGGGGAGAAATATGAACACAAAGACTTTTAAGGCTTTAATTTCATTAAACGAAACACTTCTTAAAACACTGATCAGTCAGCCTGCTGTGCTCTTTCTTTTGGAACCTGAGTTTTTGTCATGAGAGCATGTCTGAGGTTTTAAAGAGAGTGAAAAACTCACACGATGGATCTCAACATCCATTTTATTGGCATCAAACTTTATGTAACAAAGTATAGATGTGGTGTTAGTATATATAAAAGCAAAATAATACAAATGAATATGCTGAGAGGCTATGCACATTTCAACACTGCTGCAACTCTTATTGACTGCTTTAACATTTATTTATTAAGAGATAAAACCTATGATGACAGAGACAACAACTGAACAGTTTCATTCCAAAACACATTATAGACCACTTTCAAGAATTTTATTTATATATGTTGCTGGGAGATATACACATACAAGAAATATCAATGCTATATTATGATTAATACCACCTTTATTAGAGAAATACTTTCCATTAACATCAGCTGTTGTTGTATGTAAGATTTTTAGAAATGTACATACAGCATTTTGGAATGAAACTCTTGAGTTCTTCAACCTGGAGTAAGTTTTATAACATCTTAGTGCTTATTTTGGAGAAAAACCTTCACACCAACCCCTTTGCACCAAGTGGGTTTTCCTTAAACGTGGGAAGCTTGATGGATGGCTCGCTGGAGGTGCAGCCTCTGGAGTAGAGGTAGTGATGTCATAGGGAGAGGACACAGCCGATCTGCCCAATGAGGTCACACACATTACAGGGTAGAACCACATAGTGTGTGTGAGTGTCTTTTTATTGTACGGATCCTTGCTCTTCTCTGTGGGGATTGACAAGAAAAAACAGGGCAGAATTATCAGACATTAACACACATCACTGTCACACATGATTCACACAACTCATTATATAAATATTCTGTAACATTATTAAACAAACTGCACTGAAAACATCTGATTTTTCTCTTCAGTGTCAAGAACAAGCAAAATTTTTGAATAAGGAAGTACTCTAAAGCAGCATTATGCAAGAATTGGTATTCTCGACAAAAAACAACGACTTACAAGACAGAGTAATATTGCAAATTTTATTATAGGAGGCTGTAAACTTTCAAGGCTTATTTGGCATAATTTTTTGGTGTAAGATGAATTTATTTCTTTGCATATTAGCTTGAAACCGGACTGATCTTAGACGACTTTTGGCATCCTCCAAAACTCAGGGATAAGAGACAGAGATGACACAGATAAGGTTACAGTCTACAGCGCAATCTTAAACAACACTGGCAGGGATGAACACTCTGCTATCAGATTTTCATTGATTTACTCTACTTTGTTAGACCTCTCTCTTCCTCCGACACCATCTTCTTCAGACTTTTCACAGCCTCTGCCATGAGGTCAATGCTGGGAATACCAAGCTAGCTTCTTCTTATAGCTAGCTTAAGACCCATAGTTGTTGGTGTGTGATGTGGTGCCATAAAGCGTTATGCAGTTCTCGTGAGAGGTCTCATGCCTCTCCTGCTAAGTTTCATAGTGCTATGTGTACATGTTTTAAACATAAAAGGATTTAGATCTGAGACGATTTCAGAACTTTGGGTGTTTACTGTGTGTGTGTGTGTGTGTGTGTGTGTGTGTGTGTGTGTGCGCATGTATCAAGACAGTAACACAGTAACTCACTATTTTTTGGTAAGTGGTTCCTTCATCGTCACATCTCCTTTGTCCTAGGAAAGAGAAAGTGGAAAACTTGCAACATTTGCAGTTCCTGTGTTTCGATCTCTTATATCTAAACATGAGCATGTAAAACGGGAGCAGGCACTCTTACACTTCGAGTCTATTTTCTGCCACTTACCACGAATGACTAAAACAATGTACAAGATCTATTCCCACAGCTACAGAAACTTTCTGCTTTTCTGCACGTTCTGCTAACAGCGGTTTTAAAGCAGAATGTAAAAGATACACAAAGAGGCTCGCACACACATACATACACAGACAGTGGCAACAGTAAAGCAGGTTAGATCTTGAGATCTTGGTTAATATAAATTATAGGCTAATAACTAATACACTCAGACACTCAAATCAGTGGCTTGCATCCAGCAAGTTAAACATGTTTACCAAAATGCAATATTACAAATTTTTAAAACTGTTTTGGGGCTGAGCTCAGATTGAAAAGATCGTATGATGTGCTGTTTGTTAATGATGATAATGATGCGACAGAAAAAAAATGGGTATATAATGATAAATTAGCAAATTTATGGCTTAACATATTTATGCATCATCCACATTATAGGCACATAACCAATGTTAAAAATGGTACTAAACATGCTCAGAATATTAAAGAATGTATAATTTTGAATGTGTTATACATATATATACACAGTAACTCTCTGCAAATATTTTATTATATCTTTTCATGGGACAACACTATAGAAAAGAAACTTGGATATAACTTATAGTAGTCAGCTTGTATAGCAGTATAGATTTACTGTCCTCTGAAAAGAACTCAACACACAGCCTTTAATGTCTAAATAGCTGGCAACACAAGTGAGTACACCTCACAGTGAACATGTCCAAATTGTGCTCAAGTGTCAATATTTTGTGTGGCCACCATTATTATCTAGCACTGCCTTAACCCTGCATGGAATTCACCAGAGCTGCACAGGTTGCTACTGGACTCCTCTTCCACTCCTCCATGATGACATCATGGAGCTGGTGATAGTTAGACACCTTGCGCTCCTCCTCCTTCCGCTTGAGGATGCCCCACGGGTGCTCAATTGGGTTTAGGTCATACTTGGCCAGTCCATCACCTTTACTTTCAGTAAAGGTGATGCACTCATGCAGCTCTAGACCATGATGCTACCACCACCAAGTTTATCTTGGTCTCGTCAGATCACAGGACATGGTTCCAGTAATCCATATTCTTGGACTGCCTGTCTTCAGCAAACTGTTTGTGGGCTTTCTTGTGCGTCAGCTTCAGAATAGGCTTCCTTCTGGGACGACGGCCATGCAGACCGAGTTGATGCATTGTGCGGCGTATGGTCTGAGCACTGACAGGCTGACCTCCCTCTTCTATAAACTCTGCAGCAATGCTGGCAGCACTCAGGCATCTATTTTTTGAAGCCAACCTTTGGATATGATGCTGAACACGTGGACCTGTCCTGGAAAACTGCTGTATGATCTTGGCCACCGTGCTATAGCTCAGTTTCAGGGTGTTAGCAATCTTTTTCTATTTCTCACTTCCTCAAAGAGTTCTTTGCCATGAGGTGCCATGTTGAATATCCAGTGGCCAGTATGAGCAAAACACCAAATTGGGCACAATTTAGACATGTTCACTGTGAGGTGTGCTCACTTGTGTTGCCAGCTATTTAGACATGAATGGCTGTGTGTTGAGTTCTTTTCAGAGGACAGTAAATCTGTACTGCTATACAAGCTGTACACTGACTACTTTGTTATATCCAAGTTTAATTTCTATAGTGTTGTCTCATGAAAAGATATAATAAAATCTTTGCAGAAATGTGAGGGGTGTACTCACTTTTGTGAGATGCTATGTATATATTACAAATATATATATATATATTTGTATTATTCCTTTGTAAAAACAAAACACTTTCTAACAGCACTGCAAAAAGTATGCATCCTTAGGTTAAATATCTAAAAAAATAAGTTTAATATAACATAGTAAAATAACTGAAGTAATAATTTTGCATGACATGACAGCAACTTTAAATCATACTTAATTAAATTCCATTGTTTAATATCATTAGTTAACATATTTATATGTTATGTATGTCTTATTTGTTCTATGTTCAGCATTAAGTAATGATGATGTGTCCCGCCAAGTAAAGTCATGATGTAAATATATGTTAACACATCGTGGGTAATGCATTATTATATCATTAATTAAATGTGGACAGGATGCAACCAGAAAGACTAGCGTCTGTGCTGATTCAATAATATCCAATCTTATTTACTGTCATTCTTTTGTTTTGTCTTTTTCAGTTATTGCTTCAAATACTGAAATCAAATTTTCCCAAAGGCTAAAATTTTATTAATCGATGGTAAATAATGTTGGAATGCTTTACAAATTAGCACAAACGCTGCTCATATCCAACAGAGCACATGCGTCGAGTGAGAGCCCTCTGTGTGCGACTGAAATTATGCCTGAACATAAGTACTCTATGGGCTATGTAGCTTTAGCAATGTGAACCGCGCTGGGAAAATCAGAATAATACTTAAGGATAGACAGTATTAAAACACTCTGTACACTCGATTCATCTAAAAAAATTCAGACTAATTTTAGTCTATGTTTGTCTGGCACGATTGTGGATCCTCCTGTCTCGCGCGCGCCCAAGTGGGACAGAAAGGGTGGGGGAACAACAGTGGAAGCTCATTTCTGAGCCTGATCTGGGTAATACGTGCCCGGAAACACTTAAGATTAAACCCAAACAAAATGGAGGCCGTACATTTAGGGGAAAAACATGTGGTATCTTTTTAAACACATTCACAAAGACAGACCCGAGCAAACTTCTCTGTTCACAGTGTTTCAACAACGCACTGATTTGACATGAAATGCAAAATGTTAGTTTACCAATATGTTTTTTTTTTCTCATATGATGTTCACTTATGCTGCAAGATATGTTTAAAATTGAATGTTTCAATAAATAGTCGATGTGTAGTGCTTTTCAGTCATTTCACTGATCAATAATTTACTTCTCATATGCTGTAAATTAATGATGTATATATGGATGTATTAACTAACGATTTGTAAATACATATTTACATCATAACTACTTGGCGGAGCACATCATAATGAATTTATGATGAATTTAGACAAGATATATGATATATAAATGTAATGACTAAGGATGCACAGACATGTTAAGCAAAGAATTGTATCATATATCATCATCAACTGTATCATTACATACTGTCTTTTTTCCTGGCACATTATTACTGATTAAGTAATTCAGCATTACATTGCGAGGGCATGAAACTGAGTCCAGCCCTTGTCATGTAACTGTAATGAAATTTCTGATAATTCATTAATTATAAAATGTTCACACAGCGATGGCATTGAGTTTCCTGCAGATTAGTGTATTGGTTATTAGCCTATAATGTGGTTAACCAACATCATCTCCATCAGACATTATGCATTTTAGAAAGCATTCTAATTAATAAATCAAATCATGGTATTAATTAACAGACTGAGTTAGAATTATGTTAATATTTAATGGCTGCCTTTATTAATGGATATTCATATTTGATTCAGTACTTTATTGACATATACACTTCATTATTTCCTGATGTATTAAGTGTCAGTCCTTGAATTAATTTACTGTGATAAAAGCATTAGTTAAGTATTCATACATGCCTATTTGTGGACCAGTACTGTAAAGTGTTACCAAAAAAATCCCTTAAAGCTGCACCATGTAAGATGTTTTGGTTGAAAGAAGGGGCAATACTGAGTCATGAGAGTAAAAACAGGCTAAAAACATGGTGAGCGTGCACTGCTGCGAAAAGTCAGAGGCATTTCACACCACATTGTACATCTTTATGTAAGGCTTACTTCTTATTTCATAAATTTTACCATTTTTAGAATCATATAATCATGAATGTGCTTGAGCCTTGAGTATCATGATAAAACAGTGCTTAATGCAGATGCCTGTATTTCATTTATCCATTGCTATGACAATGGAAAAGGAAAACAAGCTAATAGATATAATACCACACAGCTCTGTCCTACACTCAGCAACAAACAACTACACATGGATTTGAAGCTTGTAACAGACATTCAGATACATATTTTTACTTTGTATGATACAATTTACTGTGAATCACTCAGTAAACATTTTGACTCAAAGATAAACTCTGCATATTACTGGATTAGTGTTTTAGCCTGTTAACAGTCTACTAGTCTACTGAACTGTTTAAACAAACCTGTGTTCTTATCTAGACTGTATTTACTGCAGGTCAGGGCTTTTATTTCACATACACAGTTTGTGAGTGCAAAGATACATGTATCTGTTAGAATTGTCATTTGAGGCCGTGGGGACGTGGGCTGGTTCTGGATTTGATGGTCTAAACGTATTTTCAACATGTTTAGTTTACAAGGAACAGCTAATCAGTGGTCAGAGTAAAATCTTTAAATGTAAATGAATTGTGTATAATTTAATAAAAGGGAACACTATGCCTTTACCTGTGTACATGTTTCAAATATAAAAAAATGTTTAGATCTAAGATGACTTCAGATCATTGAGTGTTTCCTGTGACTGGGTGTCTGTATAGAGACTGTTATATACTGTCTATTTATCCAGACTGTCATTTTTTAAATAGCAGTACTGTGTAGTTGGTTATATTGTACAATACGTAAAATACTCTCAGTGTATAATTGTCATACAGGACTATTTGCAGTTTGGACTCTTGGCTATAGGGAGAACTGTGAAAATGCTCCAGCATAAATTAAAGCATAAGATATAGGCCTATCTGTCATTTATGAACTTTATCGTTTATAGAATCAAATAATCATGAATGAGCCTCGAGCCTCATGACAGAACATTGCTTAATGTAGAAGCCTCTACTTTGTTTATCTGTTGCTATAACAATGTCAATGGTTTTCACTATGTAAATGTAGCATCACGCTAACAGGTTTAATACTACACAGCTCTATCCAACACTCAGCAACTACCAGCTACACATGGATTTGAAGCTTGTAACAGACATTCAGGTACACTTTTTTTTTACTTTGTATGCAGTTTAATGTGAATCATTCAGCAAACATTTCAACTTAAAGCCTAATTCCGAAGATTACAGGATTAGTGTTTTAGCCTTTTAGTGATCTACTAGCCTACAGAACTGGTTAAACCAACGTTTGTTTTTTTGTAGAATTACTATGGTTTCAGGCCCTTTACTTCATATACAGAGTTTGTGACAATATGTGTAATTTACAAGTATCTGTGAGATTCTGTCCTCCGAGTGGGATGGGTGTGTGTACCACCTTTGACTGAGTAAAAGGTTCTGAGACTGCTCTCTCTTCTGCTGTGCTGTGGCTGCTCACTGTTTACATGTTCTGATCCACTCAATAGAGGGAGTGAAGCACTCGGTCGGACTGTGACAGTGTAGTGGGAGTTTGTGAATGCAGAGCTGATCTGCAGCCGATCTGAAGCTTGTTTAACTAAATTGCACTGACGGATTTTTAAAGCGAAAGCAATATGTTACTGTGTGTTTAATATCACAGCATATAGAATTAATGAATACATGTATAGTCGCATGTCTAGCATCCACACTGATTTCCAAACTCCATGAGGCTGATGGAGCTGCAGGCTGAGACTGTGTGAGCTGTTTGTTCACTGGATAAGAAGAACACAGTGAGTGTGGAGAGAAGAGAGACTCAGACTTCTCACACCAGGAGTTTAGTCACGTTCTTGATACTTTTAGTCTTTCTTTCTTTATCCTTTCCATTTACTCTGGTGTTTCTTTATATCATTCCTTTTTTTAAGCATCATAAAAGTGTTTTTTGAGATTTTCAAATTCATGTGACAAAGGTATTTTGGCAATTTTGGACTCTTATATGTTTCTTACAAAATCGAGAATCAATTAATATATATTACAAATCTGTGAATTAAGCAATGTAGAAATGTAATAAGACAATCTCAATAACAAACAGGAAAACTGTTCAAATATATTTTAGCTGAAAATCAGAACTTTTAGTCAGCAGAGAACATTAGGAGACAGATCTAATGTGGTGTGTATGTAAAGTGAGAGAGTGAAAGACTCCAACTGCACAACACTGCATTTCTTTGGTGTGTGTGCATGTGTTCGTGTGTGTTTGTGTGTGTGTGTGTGTGTGTGTGTGTGTGTGTGTGTGTAGTGACAGTAAATCAGTAACTCACTGTAGTTTCTCCAGTTTACAGCTTGGATCCTTCAGTAGAGCTGAGAGCTCCTTCACATTTGAATCTCCTGGAAAATTGTCTCTCAGGTTCAGCTCTTTCAGGTGTGATGAGGATAGCCTAGCTTTAACCAGAGCAGCACATCTGTCCTCTGTAATACTGCAGTTAACCAGCCTGCAGAGAGAAGGAGAAAAACTCCTCACACTTACAGATCAATACACACACACAATACACAATGAGTAAAAGACAGATTAAACAACATAACACACACACTCACACACACACACACACACACTCACACACACACATGCACACTAACAGAGAATGTGCTGTTGAACAAACAGTGCTGTTGTCTACATGGAGACACTGTAGAGGCTAAACAGATACAAACCACTTACAGTTTTTAATATTACTAACACATTAAAATTGAAACATAAGGCACAGTAACATTAAAAAGCATGGGTGCCCAAACTTTTGCATATGACTGTAAATTTTGTTGGACTGTTATTGTTGTTATTATTATCATCATCAGTAATAATAATAATAATAATTATTATTATTATTATTATTATTGTAATCTCTAATAAGTGGGGCACCAGTCCAACAAGACAAAACAGACACTGGTCCTACAGGGACTGTAAATAACAATATAAACAGTAATAATTTTCTCATTATCAAGAGGAAATTTTACATTTGGTGGGGTTCTTTCTTAGCTGTTAGAACATTTGTGACACATGATACTTACACATGGGTAAAACGTTCACAAAGTTCAAAGATAAAGCACTTGAAAAATAAAAAGGTAATGAAAGATATATGTACAGAGAAAAAGACAACAGTGTGCAAAGTAACTGAACATGGTAATAAGAGAAATCTAAGAGGTATGGGAAAACAATATAGTTAGTACTATTAAGTTGCCTGAATGAAGAAGTAGGATTAATTAACACCTTATGTAAGGTGACAAACAATGATAAATGACAAATGAAAAATTTATCTGGAGTTTACACCAAATTAGTGTGTCCCACACCTCTGAAGATCATTCCAAAGTCTCCGGCCTGATTTTACCTTTAATTTGTATTACACACGCTTGAGGGAAAAGAATGAGTGGCTGAATTCTAAATAGTCCACTACATACTGCTCCTGTACTAATTCTGCCCAAAAGTAGTGAGCAGTATGCAGAATGTGACCAACATGAATTTCTCCAGAATGCCAAAAAGACCTGGATGATGTTTTGCTCCAGGAAAATGTTCTAGCACACTGCCAGGTCTATCTCCATGATATTATTGTATCCCAAAATGCAATGCGGCCGATCCAGGAGGACATGACAACTGATGTAACCACCTGGATGTTTTTCATAGTCCTGGATTCTGCCTTTCCTCCATGCATTAAAAATGGCAAAATTAAAGAAATTTTACCAAATGCTGCTGCACTGAAGCAACACCAGCTCTCTCTGCTGATCAGGTGGGTTTGCTGACTTTGTCTATTTAAATGTAAAATTTCTGAATAATGTGGATAAAACAGTCACTCAGCTGAATGATACGCTGAGCATCGGCTTTGTACTCTTTATATTCAATCATACCAGCTCATATCACCAACTACGTCAGTAATGAAAACGAAATTACTCATTGGAGCAAAACAGATGTGTTTGGGAACCACACAGGTTTACCACAATGACCAATCCAAAGCTGACCTTTTTCAAGTTTATTTGAAGCTTTGGAGACAGGTAGAAAACATTTTGATCTCACTGTATGGGGTGTGTGTTAAGAGTCACACAGGCACATCTCTCCACCAAAATATAAATATACATGCTGAAAAGCAGCTAGCAACAGTTACTAAGCAGTGATTGGAGGGCCAAGGAAAATGGGGCAGGTCTTGAGATGGTCTGATTGGCTGTGTCAGATACTGGCAGGCTAGTCGCAATGTTATGTAGTTCATCACATATATGAGTCATATACCAGAAACTGTACATTATGCTACTGATGAAGAGCAGTATGCAGTATACAGTATATACTGATGCGGTATGCAGTATACAGTACACAGTATTCTCTTTCAATCACAGTCAGTTACACATCCCTATGACATACCATGTCATAATCATGTCAACATGATGTCTGTCACATGATGTTATAAATATGCTGTGACATTTTCATGTCTGTATTGCTAATGTAAAATTGTCTTTTTGTGGAAATGGGATGCTCATGCTTGTTCCCCATTAAAGGCTGTGTGACCATCAAGCTGCTGGGTCATGACCTCATGGCGAGTCAGAGAGAGATGTAACACACTCTGTCAAAAGTGGTACCTTTTCTGTTTTATGGCTTTTGGTCTGTCACTCTTAAAGAAGGTTTAGGAAAAACAGACCCCCTTGTAAAATGCTCTTAGAGGATGATGTTGCCTTCAGGAAGGCCTATGTAACACCTTATCGCTCGGGGCCTTGTACAGAAGTTGGGGTCTGGTCACCGTTAGGTACCAGAGTCACATTGTGGACAGACCTTGTAGTGATATGAGGGAGAGGTCACAGCGGCTCTAAGGCTGGAATCACAACACAAGCACATTTTCTGCTTTACACTGTTCAGAATTTGCAGTCTTATGCAAAAGTTTGGGCACTCCGAAAATAGGTTAACATCTTGTACAGAGAACACATACAACTACTGTTTATTTACTGAATTTAACATACTGCAAGAAATAAAAAAAAATGTGGCATATACAAAGGTTATTGCATGTTTAAATTTATTTTTTTTCAAATATGTTAAACTCAGCAAATATACAAATGTGAACTAAAATATGCAGGAAAATGCCATATTTAAGTATGTCACCATAGAGCATGAATTTACTTATTTTCACTTAGGAAATTAACAAAACATGTCATTTGACCAGGGGTGTTCAAACCTGTGCATATGACTCTACTTAAAATGGGGGCTTTTGCAAAAAACTACATAAAGTTCTCCTACTCTACATTATCAAAAACATAACTTCTTATGTTCATCTGTAAAGTAGTGCTCCTCAAACCACAACACTTACTGACCAACAGGCCAGGGAAGGAGTAACATTGGTCACTGATGTTCCTCACCGATCTCTCCTCTCCACTATTTGGTGTGGCCCAGAGGAGGATGAGTTCCTCTTTTGAATCCAGTTGAATCTTGGTTCCTCTTAAGGCGTTTCTCTGATTCTCAATTAAAAACTTTGACAGTAAAAGTGAGTAATAATAAACAAGTCCAGACAGTGCACCCTCTTTTGCCAAATCTGTGGTTTTCCTGTGGTCCTGTAGTTAAATAAAAATGCTTTTTTTTTTAATCAAGAAACAAAGTTTCTATCAGAAAATGTTTTACTAAAAAACAAATGAAAATGACAAAATAACCAAAAATCAGATATCTTGAAAATCAATCAATTATAGGAATTTTAATATGTAAGATTTCTAAATCAAATAATTCAATAATAAAAAATAATAATAATAATTATAATAATACAAACCCTTTTCCAGTTCATTATAATTACAGTAATAATTTTTACTAACAAAGTTTAACTGTCTTTTTATTACAATTAAAAATGAAATTAACATGCTGAAAGAAAGTCAAGTTGTTTTAGCTTTTATTTCCTATCATACTTGATCTCAGGAATTCAATCTGCTTATGTGAAAAATAAATTTCAACTAGCAAATGTTTTATTCTTGATGTCAGAAATTGCTACATTTGCTACATGTGAAAATTAAATATTAAGTACTGACGTAAAACTTCAGTTCTTACTTTTAAGAAATAAATTTATACTAGTAAAATATCATTTTCATATATGTACATTGTAAATTTCTTTGTAAAATCCACATAAACTGAAAAATACTATTAAAAACTGCAAAAAAGGTGTGACGATGTGCAGAAATGTAAACATAAAGAAAATGCAATGATGTGCAAATCATTTAAAATCTATATTTAATTAAAAATATCATAAAGACAACATATCAAATGTTGAAACCAAGAAATTTTATTGTTTTTGAAAAATATATGCCTAATTTAAATTTAATGCCAGCAACATGTTTACCACTGTGTTTCATCACCTCTTCTCTTAACAACACTCTGTAAGCATTTGGGAACTGAGGAGACACTCCTGTAGTTTTGAAAGTCAAATGTTTTCCTATTCTTATTTGATACAGGATTTCAGCTTCTCAACAGTTCATATTTTTTGTCCTATATATATAAAATTATTCAGTATTAAGTTTTAATATGTTATAATTTAATATGTCTTTGTACTGTTTTCAATACATTTTGCACAACACCCGTTGTTTTTGGAAAGGGGTTGTATTTGGATTTCAACTTCAAAACCTACTTTCCACACACAGGAGGGGGATTCAACAAACATCTTATTTGACTCAGGAAGAAGAGGATGTTTTAAGTTCAGTGCCAGTAAAATTTGAAGATCAGAAGTCCTTTTTAAGTCTTTTTCTTCTCTGATCTCCTACAAAAGCAGTCAGAATGTTCCATTCAACAGGTCAAAATGTGTCTTTTAAATATATCATTTAATTAGCTGGGGTGGCACGGAGTGGGTAGTGCTGTCGCCTCACAGCAAGAATGGCCTGGGTTCGATTCCTGGCGACCAGGGTCATTTCTGTGTGGAGTTTACATGTTCTCCCCGTGTCTGCGTGGGTTTCCTCCGGGTAATCCGGTTTCCTCCCACAGTCCAAAAACATGCAGTCAGGCCAATTGGAGATGCTAAAGTGCCCCTAGGTGTGTGTGTGTGTGTATGTGAATGTCTGTCTGTCTGTCTGTCTGTCTGTCTGTCTGCCCTGCGATGGACTGGCGACCTGTCCAGGGTGTATCCTGCCTTCTGCCCAATGACAGCTGGGATAGGCTCCAGCACCCCACCGCGACCCAGAAGGATAAGCGGTTTAGATGATGGATGGATGGATTTAATTAGCTGACTGTGTGTATGTGACGTATTGCATGTGTGACCAAACATGTTTGGAAACATTGTAGAAAATGTCATTTAAATTAACTTCAAAGTGGTTCAGGCACTAATTTTTGTGGGATTGTGTCATTTCATGAATTGATTGTCATATTTATATTAAGTAAACATGCGGACATGCGGACATGCCTCCGGTTCCGACAATATGGGGGTGTAGTTTATGGTTTAATTCTGCGGGACACTGTTACAGAGTTAAATGTGCAGGAGTTTTTTCCTGTTTACCTAAACTTGTGGGATTTTCCACAGTGTAATTTAACATCTAAAGTTGAGTCTCAGCCTTCCATGTATGCTGATGGAGATGCATCTGAGGGTGATTTATTACAGATGTTAGATACATTGTATTCAAAGAAAAAGGGATTCCAGCAGAATCAGCATGGAGTCAGGAACAATGCTTTATGGTTCTGACCTACTGTGTAAAGAACAGGGACTCTGGGGGATGTTTTCAGGTGTTTAGACAGTGGCAATGTCTTCTAAGAACAGAACACCAACAGCACACAGAACAAACACAACACTCTATCCATGTCCTGCAAGCAAAGGTTGAGTCACAAGACAAAGGAAAAGCAAGTGAGCCCCTCTCTTGAGGAGGAGCAGTCACTTTCCATTGACAGTAAAGGCAGTTCTGATCGAGCTGGTCTTAATCAGACTGTCATAGAAACAGCTACAGGAGTAGTCAAAAGAGAAAGGTTGAAGCACAAGCCTATTAGCCCAGAGCAAATACATTGCCTGGCAGAAGAGTTCAAACCTGGCATTTAGAATAATCCAGGAAGTTAGTATATACTGAGCACATTGCTGAAACAGTTTTACTGCATGAGAGCTAGTGTGACTGTGCATCTACTGAGGATGTGATGAGCAGTAAAGTTGGTGTTGCTCAAAGAGCTGATGGTGAGACTTCACAAGCTGAGGTGTCCCAGCTGCACACACAGAATGTGTTCCATGGAACAGGGAGTCAGCAAAGCCAGGGAACACATTATAATGCATGCCACCCCTGCAGTGAGATACGTCCTTGCAAATGCAAGAAGAAGTTTGAGGCAAAGAGTAAAGTGAGTTTAGGGAAAAATCAGTCCAAGGCAGTGGGTGTGGCCATTCCCACACAGGTGGTGCGATTAAATTTACAATAGCTTCCATAGGAGCATATTTATGGCCAATTATACATAAGCAGGACAATAGATGGCATCAGTTTGTCTCATATCAGAACAAAAGGGCAAAATACTATCTAACAGCAGCAGAGATGGGTAGTTGGTACTTTAATTTCTTTGTATAGTTTAATTTTAATTCAAAAGTTTTGGGAATCTCAATGAAGGGAGAATATTGATTTTAGGAAAACAGACATTGAAATATAATTATTTACCAAGGTTTTATGTAGATATTGACATAGTCCTGCAAGGGTCAGCAAGAATAATAAGTTAGTATGGCATACAAGCCTATCTGTATTCACCACTGAAGGGTACACATAGAGGGAAGTCTGTCTAATTCAGAATGCAAAGGCATCCTTTCTCTTTGGTCAGATCACTAATTCCTAATTATGATCATGGTGAATGATTAGAAGTGTAAAGAGTGACTCTGGTCATTACGGTGGTGTAAAGTAGTTGCACAGTTCTACTAGAAAATCCAGATTAGATGTAGTCACTGGTGGCTCAGTGCAGAGTCTCTGTGACTGTAAAAGGCAGGATAAGTGTTTTTTCACCATCTTCAGTGACAAAGTTTCAGTTAAGCTTCTGAGATAATGATTCAATCCAATATTTTGCCACATTTAGCATGATCTGATGGTTCATTACAGCTGTTGAGGGCAATGCATTTCTAATATCATGTCAGAGTGTGAACGGCCATTATGTTTGGGGCTTGTTGGAAAAAAGCATGCAATTTTTTACAAGGCTTTAATGAAGTTCCACTTTTTTTAATTTCTGCCGCTTCTGACCATAAGCAAGAGGCGTGGCAGAACCCTCAAAGAAAGAGGGACACACCGCTGGAGGTGTGACTGAACCTTCAAGGGGGGTGGGTGTAATTTTGCCAGGACAAGGAGTCAACATTAAAAATCACACTGCTGCTTCATTAAAGGCTAAATGGGAAAGGCTGTTCTAAGTTCTTTTAGTTACTGATGTAGCACACATGCTTGACATTGCAAAGTGGTGTATAAAATTGACAGAAAGGTTATTATGGCACGTCACATAAATTATAAATGATGGTTACAGGAGGAACATGTCACAACACAAGTGTATCACATTCTGCTGCGTAAGGAGCCGTGTAGTCACAAACCGGTCTGAGTGTAAACACTAACCCCTGTTTACCAGAGAAATGATGGCACCAGAATGCACTGTCGCTCTGGATAAGAGTGTCAGCTAAATGATGTAAAATGTAAAATGTAAAATGCACTGTAAGAAGAAGACAAGTCAGAGGAGGGAGTGTGATGCTCTGGGTGATGTTCTGGTCTGGGATGTCAAATTGACAAATGCCACCTACCTACACATCATCACAGACCAGGTACACTACTTCTGATCAAGATTGATAATAAAATATTAATAAAATTTATTAATGTGTACACAGTAAATGTTAGAGTTGAATGGATTCCATTGAAGTAGAGAACAAACAATTCTTACTATTTTATTTTTTTCTATCACACAATCTCACCAGTGCATTTTTCATTCTTTTATCGTGGTACGCTTTTCAGACCATTGATTGAAAGAATAGTATGTCAAGTAGAAGTGGACTGAAAGTTTAGCACTTTTTTATTTGTGTCATATTTTACTTCACAGAATATTTGGTGGGTTGCAGGAAAATAACTAGGATGCGGGAATGGAAAATTTTGGGAGCCCCTGATACAGTAGATTCAGCACTGTAGCTGTGCTTTTGAGAGAATGTGTCTATAGAGGAGCGACGTTCAACAAAACACTCATGTTTAATGTTTAAAGTAGGATTGTGATTGGTCACCGACAAAAAAGGAATTTCAAATATGTAACATTTAGTGAGTGCATTTTTTGTGTCTTGGTTTAGTTATTAATAATGTTTTAATACTGAGAGCACATTCAGACATCATTTTAGGTGAATCAATGATAAAAAGTGATCTGAACTATATCTGATTAATGAAATGTCTTACCTTTAACTTTATGATAAAGGCTTCTTCAGTCAAGAGGGCTCAGTGCAGCCATCAAACAAAGCAGAAACAGATTTTTATGGGTTTAAGTTTTAGATATTTTTAAAACAATAGTTATTATAATTTTTTTAATGTTGTTCTTTAAATGATTTTTAAAGTAATAAAATATTGTATTATTTCATTATTATGGGGTATTCTGAAATGAAGTAAACAGTGTATCTTTTTTATTTTGAAGAATATTTCAGCTTTGAAATAGTTTAGGAATTAGAACAGGAAAGTTTATCTAATGCTGAAATGGGATTTCTAGATGGCTGAAATGACTGACTGTCAATGGTATCAGAATTTGCATGCAGTAATCCTATTTAAGTTTTAGATCAACTTTAACTACTACGAGGTTCAGTGAGTCGTAGTAGTTAATGATACTGATCATGATACTTATCATGATACTTATCATGATATTGGCAAACCATATGATATAACTTTCCAATTTTAGTGTTTTTTTTTATAATTATCTGATAATTTGATAATTATTTGATAATTATATGAGCATTTTATAGATGACATCATAGAGGCCCTGTTGCAGAGTGGTTTGTTTTTAGTTGTTAGTTGTTTGAGAGAAAATTGTGTTGTAAATTTTCAGGGAGTGGTGCTAATAGAGGCCCTGCTGCCAAACACCTTGTTTTTAGGTTTTTAGAATGACTGTAAGTGAAACTGAAATTGTACCCATCTTTGTAAATTTAACACTCTGACATCAGAGAACCAATCTGTCATTTTGCTCACTACATTAATATATACATACATTCAGAGCCTGTGTATTTTGTTTCGACTCCTCCTTCACCCCATATTCTAATGGGCAATATTTTTTATTTAGTCAGTAAGAACAGATAATTTCCCCTCTGTGGTTTAAAATGATGAAACAATGGCTTATTGTATTGTTTTGCTGATGTTAATAGTTTTAATGAGTAAACTGTACCACACACCAGTAGAGAAGCACCACAGCAGATTGGAAAATTGGAAAAAGATTGGAAAAAGACAAAAAATTAGAAGAGACTCATTACAACCACTCCGTGTTCGAACAGGTTTCGAATGAAGCGGCCGAGCACGGCCGGAATAGACCAAGGTTGCAGCGTCAAAAAAGGTTTAAAGAATCAGAGGACATGAACATTTGGTGAGAAACCTGCTATGTAAGTGTAGCCATAGTGATTAGATGGACACAATACTAAATCCAGTGAGTTAACAATAACGGTGACAGTAAGTTAGTAACTCACTGTAGCTTCTTCAGTTTACAGTGTGGATCCTCCAGTAGATCAGAGAGCTCCTTCACTGCTGAATCACCTAGTTAAGTATGTGTGTGAGTGTGTGTGTGTGTGTGTGTGTGTGTGTGTGTGTGTGCAGAGACAGTAAGTCAGTAACTCACCATAGTTTCCCCAGTTGACAGTGTGGATCCTTCAGTAGTTCACAGAGTTCCCTCACTGCTGAATCTCCTAGTTTATTCCAGCTCAGGTTCAGTTCTCTCAGGAGTGATAAGCGGTTTGATTTCAGAGCTTTAACCAGAGCAGCACAGCCTTCATTTGTAATACTGCAGTTAACCAGTCTGCGAGACAAGAAGAAAAACTCATCACACTTACAGCTCAAAACACACACATATGCACAATACACAGTGAATTAACAAGTAAAAGACTGAACCTCATAAGACAATCTTTAAAACCATCCTCTCTGTCTCTCTCTCTTGCTCTATCTCTCTCTTACATACACACACACACACACACACACACACACACAAACACACACACACACACACAGAAATATAATTTTTACAATCATATTTTAGAATGTGTATATGTGTATAGGACAGAGGCAGTAATGAATCATTTTTCTCTCTTTTAAAATTTGTTCAGCACAGCTGTTTTGGTTTCTATTGTTTTGTCTTCTAAATTCATTTAAAACTAGTGAGTTTATGTTCAGCCAACTAATGCTATTTACATGTGTCACAAGAAAAAGACTAGGCCAAATTCATAAAACAAACAGTGCTATGGCATGCAAAAAAGTGTGTCATGGTAAATAGGAGCTATTTATAAAGTCACTAGTGATTAGCACAATTGTATTTTCACTGGTGTCTTAGACAAGAGCCAATCAAAATCCACATGTAAATGAATTTATACATACAGCATTAAAGACTTGCCAAGTGAAGCTCCAGTTGGCTCATAAAATGAATACAATGAAACAAATGAAAACAAAGAAAACCAAAACTCTCAGAAAAATGCAGACCAATTACAGTAAACTATTAAAATTACATTTTAAAACTCAATAAATGTAGGAATTATATTTTAGCATGGAAGACTTAATTTCTCATTAGTAATAATTCAAGCCTTTTTCAAGTTCATTTTAACTGCAGGAACATGCTGAAATTCTAATTACTACAACAAGCTGTTTAGCATTTACTTCCTATTTTCTTTGATCTCTGGAATTAAATTTACACACGTGAAAATAAAATTTCTACTATATAAATATTAAATTTCAATATATATTTCAATATAAATTCTTTTTTGGCTAAAATTCAATAAATGTAGGAATTATATTTTAGCATGGAAGACTTCATTTCTCATTAGTAATAATTCAAGCCTTTCTCAAGTTCAATTTAATAGCAGTAACAACTTTTACTAACAAAGTTAATTAAAAATTAAAACTTATATTAACATGCTGAAATAGTAATTACTATGACAAGCTTCTTCATCTCAGGAATACAGTTTACACGTGAAAATGAAATTTCCACTAGTAAATCTTAAATTTCAACTATTAATTATAGAACTAAAAATTATGTTTTGGCTAGTAAGAAATTAGGTTTCACTAGTACAACTGTCACTTTCACATCTACAAATTGAATTTCTTTGTAAAATCCACTGTAGGTTGAAAAATAATATAAAAAGCTAAAACTGCTTGCAATAAAATTATTTGAACATATATATAGAATCTCAACATGTTAACATACTCTTCACCTATTTGGATTAGCTAAACCCACTTTCCATTCATGGGAGGGGGATTCACCATGCAGACACGCCTCACATCGAGTAAGCAGTAAACTTGCATGTAGTCCTCATTTGAGAAAATGTGAGACCACCATGCCATTCACTCTTAATGTCATGGTAAATCTGGCACTGTGGTTTATGAATCTAGCCCATTGTATTTTTGTCAAAGCATTTATTTTAATGCGTTAAAAATGTGTAGAGAGACAGTAAGTAATTAACTGTATGGTTACTGTTTGTGTGTGTGGGGGTGTGTGTTTGTATAGAGACAGTAAGTCAGTAACTCACAGTAGTATCTCCAGTTTACAGTGTTGATTCTTCAGTAGATCAGAGAGCTCCATCACTGCTGAATCTTCTGGATAATTCCAGTTTAGATTCAGCTCTCTCAGCTGAGATGAGTTTGATTTAAGAGCTTTAATCAGAGTAGCACAGTCTTTACCTGTAATCCTGCAGTTACACAGCCTGCAGAGAGAAGAAGAAAACCTTACAGTTCAACACACACACAGTACACAATAAACTAATGAGTAAAAGACAGATTAAACACCATAACACACACACACACACACACACACACACACACACACACACACACACACTTCTATAATTCTGACTCTTCTAGTTTATGTGTAAGTGTATCACTAGGTGTTGGCCATGTCCAGCCCAGATTCATTAAGACAATGTGCTTTGCTCAATCACCACTCTCACTTTGAAAATTATACAACACAGGTAGAGCCCCCCCCCCGAGACCCCCTCTGGCATCAGACTTAGAAAAGAGTTACTGTATAATGAAGGCAGCAGATATCTGTTTTCAAAAGCAATTTAGTCTGTAGAGGAAGCTGCATCTTGAGTGTTACCTTTTTAGGTTAATGAGGTGTCTGGGCAGATAGGAAAATACACAGCACACATAAGTATAAAAGCTTTATTTTTAATTTGTTTCTGTAGATAATGGTGTGTACAGGGCCAAAAGTTTGTCATCAAACAAAAACATTGTTAACAGGCCTGCCGATTCAGTGCCATCAGCTTGGCAGATAGGAAGGCCGAGATTCTTTCCTCTCAGAAAGCAGACATTTCCATACTCCTCAGGTCAGAACTAGAGTCTTGCTCCTGAATTTCATGATATGAAAACCAAACTGTAGGTAGTCAAAACAGAAGTTATTAACAACATCGCTCTACTTTGCTCAGATCTGGAAGCTTGAAGCAGAAGTGGCTAGATTGTAGGACAACTGATTTGGAGGGGAAAATAAGAAAGTCAAAAATCCATATACTAAATGTATCAGGAGGACAGGGCTCGAGCTCTCCAGCCTCTTCACATGGATAAGAATGTGTTGGTTGACAGGTTACACAGAGGTCTTAAACCTAGGCAACCTGGTGGGAAAACATGTGTTAGTGGCTAAACTACTCTATTATCAAGATTGCATGGAGACACTTGGCTGTTCAAAGGATGGTGGCCCTTTGCAGAGCTAAAATTTTCATTTTCCTGGACTAGTATTATGCACATCAGATATGCTTTGAAAGAAGTCAAGAAAGTACTTCTGGGACATGATGGCATTCGCTATGGCATTACACACAACAGAATAAAAAAGGACCCATCTGGATTATGTGAATTCGAATGTTATATAAAGCAGATTTGTTCCACAGGCTTGAAGGAGGCTTACTAGACCAGAAATGGAAATTCAGCCTGATATTCTTTACAATGTTTTTTCCTGAAGAGTAGGTACATATAAGGTTCTTACCATTATGTTTATTACTGTCAATACTTAAAGGTGTATGGGATGTAAAATAACTTCCATTTGTTTTAGAAAACAAAGATGTTGGGGACATCTAAACATTTGCAACTTAAATAGTAGATCATTTCAATAAATATAAATGCATTTTTAATCTATTTTCAGTGTTGAACGATTAACGACCATGTCAAATTTTGTTGAAAACAGCCTGTTAAACTAGGGCCTAACACCACAGCTCAAATCAAATGAGCTCATACAATTAAATTATTTCTTGACTAATATGGAATATCTGATGTTTGCCATTTTCATCCCATTTTCATTCCCCACATCTAGGAGCTACTCTTTTTCAGTGGTTTACAAATTTCCTCACATATAGATGCCTTTTTTAGACAAGAAACTTCTTCCCTCTTGAGTGACTGAGTACCATGCAGTAGTAATTCCTGATTTGGCCCCATTATTAATGACCTTATGTTTATCAACTAAACATGCCAATTTATCACACTTGGAGTCTAAACACGTTACTACTTTCTGATGAGAATTTTGTTAATTTTCTATCAAATGAAACAGCCACATTCCTAGAGCATAATAAGATCCCAGGAATATCCGCTTCAATTATATTGGAATCAATTAAGGTATATTTGAGAGGGCAGACAATATAGTGTTCAGATGAGGAAAGCTCAAATTGAAATTAACAAATGACATCCTAAAATTGGATACAGAGTTAGCCTTGTCACTTTTGCCCCAATTACACCAACAGAGATTGACACTCCAAACAGAATACAAACTTTTATCCACTAAACATACTGAAACTCTCTTGAATAAGACACGACATAGATCATATAAACATTGCGAAAAACCCCCAGTTGAAACAGCAACTGCAACAGAGCTTGACAACCCGTTTTCTGTTTCTGTTATCTCTGGCTCTTTACCTCCAACTATGCATCAGACAGCCATATGTTTAATTCCCAAAAAAAATCAATGCCCCTCCAGATCCTTCAGGGGTCTGAATGGGAATATACTTCAGCTTGATTTCACTCAATAATTTCAAGGGGTGCCAACAATTGTGGCACTCATAGATTTAAGAAAAATATTATTTCATGAAAAAAAAATATTTTTTTTCTGTCAGTCATTGCACTTTAAATAAAGATTAACTGTTTTGTTAATATTTTGAATGGATGATTAAAAAGATGGCCAATATAATGTTTTTCCAGCCCATTTCACTCATGTTTACCTAGGTGCCAATTTTGTGAAGAGCAATGTTTATACCTTATTTATTTCTTCATTGGTTCCAACATTAGCTGCCTATTGCTGCATAGCAAATATTTAATCTACTAGCTACTTAATGTTAATGTTATCTAAGCCAGCTGAACACTTTATGCTGAAGGAAAAAAACACTCACTCATTCACTATAGTTCAGCAACATCTTATTAATAATGAATTTACCCCAGCAAGTAATGCAGCAAACCTGATGCTTTGTGCTCTTATATCAATCATGGTTAACATTTATGTATGCATGTTGAATCTTTTCCATTCCTCTAACAAAGGCTGAATGTCAAATGGCTCCCTCCTCCTACATACAGCACTGTATCGGTCATTGACTATGACTTCTACACCCAAATAGAGCATTAAATGGTACATATGGCATCTATTGGATTTGTATTTAAGCATATAATACTCTGTTTTTGTCTAAAGGTCATTACTTCATGATCTACATACTGCAATACATAGGGATTGGGAGCCATTTGAGATTTTTGCCTTAACGTTACAAAAATAGTTTGTCAAATGGCTTAAGCTGTTGTATGCAGACAGTCATAGAGAATACAGAGCAAACTGCTAGTTACAATAAAGAGGCAACAAACTGCAAACATTACGTTTAAGGGGGATGAAGAGTGGAATGTAGAGACAGTAAATCAGTAACTCTTGAGTTTAGTGTTCATTCTTCAGTAGATCAGAGAGAAGTGTCACTCCTGAATCTCCTGGTTTTGTGTGTGTGTGTGTGTGTGTGTGTGTGTAATTCAGTAACTCACTCTAATTTCTCCAGTTTACAGGTTTTCTTCTTCAGTAGAACAGAGAGCTCCTTCATTGCTGACTCTCGTGGTTCATTCCAGCCCAGGTTCAGCTCTTTCAGGTGAGATGAGGGGTTTGATTTCAGAACTTTAATCAGAGCAGCACAGCCTTCATCTGTAATACTGCAGTGCTGCAGCCTGCAGAGAGAAGATGAAAACTCCTCACACTTACAATTCAGCACACATACAAAATTTCTCCAGAACACCAATAGATATCCAGATGATGTACTGCTCTGCCCAAATACTTCAGTATGCAGCCATCTTTGTGATATAACCTATCAATGCATTTTTTTAGGAGGATGTAACCACTGATGTATCTACCTGCTTAGTCCTGAACATTATAATAGCTCCAGATTCAGCCTTATAAAAATACATATATGATGACAAAATGAGAAACAGTTGTCCAAATGCTGCATTTTGTCAGTTGTCCAAATGCTTCAGTGCAACACCGAAGACCCATAAACTTGCTGGTTTTGAGTTGGGTTTGTTTACCTCATCTGCTCAATAAAGTTAGCTTTCTGCATAAATAGCATGGTTAAAATAGTAACTTACTAAACACCCTCCACTCTATTAGGGTTTAAGGTGTCTTGAAAAGACAAGCAAGGACATCTTTTGATCAAAATGTATGTGCTGCTAAAAAGCAGCTTGCAATGGTTACAGAGATTGGAGGGCTAAGGAAAATGGGAGATGCTATAAGTGTTATAAGATCAGTCAGAGTGGCTTGGCACACGCACAGCTAGGTCTTCAGGATGCGTTATGCCCTCACTGGTGCACAACAGATGCACAACAGCAAACCAGATATTCCACTGTTTTCAAAGGAGCTGCAAGAGAAAATTTCTGCCCCCTGCTAGCAGCAACATTCCACAGACCAGATTTTGATTTTTAGGAACCATGGATGCCAGATGAACCCAATATTACAAAAGAAAAATAAAACACTACAGAGCATCCTCCTGCCATTCTTCACATTAAATAAATAATCTACACTATCTATTTATCACTTTTAACACTGTCACCACACCAACATTTACATGGCTTCATGCTGCCATCAGTCACATACCACTATGAGGCACAGAATTTTTTCCACTCCCAACATATAAATACAACATAAGAAAGTCACATAAATTACATTCAATTGTTTCAACAAACAGAAGATAGCAAAATAATGAAAAAATCTACCAAATTCTCCTGCTCTCAGTGCAAAAACAAGAGGAAAAGTCATTAGCTCTCCCTGCTGCTCTGCTAGACTTCAGTTGTATTAATGAATTTACTTCACCTACTAAATAAAGTAATGGGGTAAAAGCAATTAATTGATTATGTTAATACTCATTTCAAGAGAACAAATATTTGAATATTTAGCAAATAATTTACTTAAAGCCCATGCCAACAAGAAATATCTGTAAATGAATTCAATAGTAGATAAATTCTCAAAAAATTCACTGCTTCTGCCTGGTCAGAGCTGTTTGGATGTGTCAGAACACAAAATGATAAAGACAAGTCAAGACATTTTATGAGCAAGGAGTTAGGTCAGGCAAACTGCTAGCTCGGCAGCTGAAAAAACAATCAATAATATCTAAGAAGGTACTGGAAAAATATTAACTGATCCACAAGAGATAAATACAACTTTTGCAACATTTCTTCAATCTTTGTATAAATCAGAATCTTCAGGATTCTTGGAGAAGCAAAGAAAATCTTTACATTCCTTGTCTCTCGGATCAAGCCAATATTTCATTAAACTCATCTTTAGAAAAGGTTCAGAAGCCATTAATAAAATGAAAAGTGGAAAAATGGCTGGTCCAGATGGCTTACCAATAGATTAGCTGGTCCCTTAGTAATAATGTACATAGAATCTTTTGAAAGATACTTCCTCCCTCTCTGAGAAGTACATTGATCACCAGGTAACCAGGTAAACCTCCTAACAAATGTGAATTGTACAGACATATAGCTTTGCTTTATATGGGTATGAAAATTATTGTTAAATTTTAGTATCAGGACTCAAAGTACATCTTCCGTCTCTTATGACAGTTGATCTTAATGATTTTATATGTAATACAGGCAAAAATATTAGGCAAGCTTTGAATATTATATATGAGATGAATGAACTTGTATCTCATCTTTGGATGCAGAAGAAACATTAGACAGAGTCAAATCAAACCAAGTACTGTCGCGTTTTGGGTGTGGTGGTGACTTTTGTCAGTGGGTCAAACTCCTATACCTTGTGTCAAGCTCTAGTCCTTGTGGGCCAGAACACTGCAGACTTCAGCTTGCTGCCTCAGTAAACACAGCTGATTCAGCTCATCAGCTAATTAGCAAGGACTTCACAAACTGAATTCAGAGCGTTAGATGAGTGTAAATGCTGATCTCCACAGCACTTTCACCCAGGTCCCAGTTTGAAATGCCTTTGCTATACTGTGGACTATAAGCTGAGGTTGTCACAACTAACTCTTTAGTATTTATTGTGGAAGGTGTCAAGGTTGTCCATTATCTTCATTGTTTTTTTCTAGCTCTTGAACCTTTGGCTATTGCAGTTGGAGCCCTTCCAAATGTAGTGGGAATTAGCATATTTGAACCAGAACATGGAATAGCATTATATGCTGATGACATTCTTTTATTTTTAATGATACTTTAAAACTCCATATCCACTCTCAATAATTTGATAAAATTCTTTGGTAAATGTAATCAAAATGAAAATACTCCCCAAATTTTTTTACTTATCTCAGTCTATATCACTTGCACCCCTTTCTTCATTCTTTTCCAATATAAAAAGACTATTTAATAACTTTATTTGGAACAATCAACAGTCAAGGCTTTGTTTATCATCCTCCATACAGTAGAGGTGGTCCACATATTCCCATCTGGTCATGGTATTTCTTGGCAGCCTAAATAAGGTCAGCTTTCTTCTGGTTCTGCACTTCAATCTACTTGCCAGGGGTTCAGATGCAGATGAGTGCTGGTAGACAACTTGAGCTCAGCTCATACATGTACTCTGATTCCTTAAAAGCACTGAAGCAGGAAACACCCAATGCATTTATTATAAACACTACTAGGGCCTGGCAGGAAGTGCATACTATGTTTGGTGAGATGCCTGGATCATCCCAGTTTTCCCTTATTTGGGGCATGTCACGCTTCCGGGTTCTCCTCCCTTGCCTAATACTCTCCAGGACTCCAATTCCCATGATTCCAATCCTGATGATGGAATCATGGGAATCATGCCCTGAAACTGTCTGAATCATGGGAATCATGCCCTGAAACTGTCTGACCGTCTTACTGTCTCTCATTAAACCACTTCCTTTTTAAGATCCGCGAGCGTCTTTCTGCGCTTGTGCAGCATTACAGGGCAACGCAGTATTTACTCTTGGTAAACCTGATTCTGGATTCAAAGTGTGGGCACAAAAGGGTTCACAAAAAATCAGGCAGATTTCTATGTTTATTTGCAAATATGTAGTTTAATAAGGTTTAAAACACAATCCTTACAATGCCCACCTTTAATCACTATCGAACATATGGGAGTAAATGACTCCTTCTCAAAAAATTTAATAACTCATCTATATAGAAAACTTGTCAATGTATCTGAAGAGTCATTTAGAAGCTATCTCACTATCTCACTACTTCATTTTTATTTCATCTTTAACCTTATTATCTTCATGGTCAATATTATCACTCTGTAATTTCTTTAATTTAGTTTCCTAATATTGTAGCTGCTACTGTTTAAGTTTCTTCATATGAAGTAGTGGCAATAATCCTACCCCTTATCACAGCTTTAAGTGCATCCCAAAGCACAGATGGCATCACTTCACCATTATCGTTCACTTTGAGGTATGTGTGAAACTCCACTTCAATCCTTGGCTTTGGGGTTGTTCAATATACATGAATTCAATCTACAAATTGTAAACCATGACTTTCTTTTCAAATGGAGATACATAGAAACTGGACTATGGTCAGAGATATCCATTGGTCTTCTCTATTCTTTGTAGGTCTCTGCTGTACATAAAAAAGTAATCTATTTTAGAATAGACATCATGAGGAAAGGAATAATGGGTGTAGTCTCTGCTAGATGGATACAGTTCCCTGCATACATCTGTTATTCCCAATTCTTTCATCAATACAGTTATCTCTTTTCCCTATAAAATTCTACAGGAGCATACACATTTAAGATATGCACCAATGGTTACTCTATGTTTCTGGTTATCATTACAAATCTGCCTTCTTTGTCTTTTACCCCGGATACATGTTCATAACTCAGTGTATTATGTAGTACTGAATAAGACAAATATACATATTCAAAACTCTCACAATCTCTGTGTGTATGTTTGTGTGGGGGGACGGGGGAGAGAGGGAGAGAGAGAGAAAGAGATAGAGAGAGAGAGAGAGTGAGAGAAGCAGTGTCAAGTGATCTTACCTCAGTGTCTCCAGTTTACAGTTTGGACTCTTCAGTCCCTCACAGAGCTTCTTCACTCCTGAATCCTGCAGCAGGTAATTCTCACTCAGGTCCAGTTCTCTCAGTTTTGAGTTCTCTGAGCTGAGAGCTGAGGCCAGAACTGCACAGATTTTCTCTGTGAGACCAAGGCCACGTAGCCTGGAAAGGATATAAGGATACACCAAAATGCAGCACACTATTATTATATAATCAAAAAATGATTAAAATATCAACTAATGTGCAAATCAAACTACAAAACAGAGTAAACAGAGATGAATGCATCACAGGCCAGAAACAAAAATGGTCTTCTTATATTTACAGTCATGTAACATACAAGATCATGTGATATACTGAACCTGTATATCAAGTGATATTATCTAAATGGGTACTGTTATCTTTATATTGACGTAATTTTTGTATATGTATTGCATACATGATTTTACTATTTAAATTGGTCACCAAAAGAGTTAAGGAGAGTGCATGTGCATAATGACCATAGTGAAACACATCAGATCTTTCTGTGTACTACTGTGTTTCTACCACTGCATAAAAGATGCACAAGGCTTCCTTAATTGTTGGCTGCACTGTGATTTTTGTCAGACTGAGTGATTGAACTCAATCAGAGTGGTATTTAGATCAGTGCTCTGAAAATAATTAGGGTCCAAGTATGCAGTGCATAGAATTCTATTGTAATTGTTCATTTTTCCTTATTATTTCTGCTAAAATGAATCACCCAGACCAAACCGTAACTCATACATATAAGAAATAGGTAGTAGTCAATAGGTAATAGTCTCATCCGCTACTCAGGTGCACAATATGAGCTCTACTGCCTCAAGAGGGCGTTATAGCACAGCCTAACTCATTTGGCCTTCTATCTCACAAACCAGAATTTTTAAAGACAGTTTTTTTCCTGATTCCTTGGTTCATGACAAACTTTTTGGACAATTTGGATCATTTAGCTCTGCCTACATAGATTTTCTGCTAATTTGCATAATGTACTAAACCTAATTTGCAAACTAGTACTAGGTTTTTCACTCAATCCTCATGTAAATGGTATCAAAAATCATTATACCATGAACCTCAATAATTATCAAAAACATGTTGATTTTGTAAGCAATGTAGCTGGCATATGGATTAATTCTACTGGATTAATTCAGAATTATCTACAAATTTTGTAACTCAAAAATGCTTCAACCAAAAAAAAAAATGTAAACTTCATAGGCTGATATGATCCACAGTTCTAGGGTAGCCTGTCAGGGGCATGTACATCATTAGGGGGCACTGTAAGTGCTAAAGAACTGTTTCTCAAAATCCGTACATCCAATCATGCTGAAATTTTGTATGCTGTGTCTTTGGGACAGATTATAGGTGATTTCGTAAGCCAGTCTGTTTTTACCCAGAATTTGGAGGCCTGAAACTTGAATAATATATTTATGTAGACACCTTGTAATAACCAATGAAGTTTCAAAAGATTTGGTTTTATATAGCCTGGCCACTCTTATGTTTTGCTAATATCACATCTGTTTCTATGGTAGAGTTGGTTAAAATCCAGTCCAATATATTGTCAGTTACATCTTGCTCCAACCTCCCTTATTAAGGAATGTCTGACAGAGCTAGCCATCTCTGTCTTACACCTTATTAAAAGCTGTCTTGCAACCTGTTGTATCCCAGCTGATCTCAACACTGTCGTTAACCCTGTTCTGAAAAAGCCAGATCTACACTCCAATGAATTAAATAAGTACTGGCCAATCTCTAATCTCCCATTTACAGCTAAACTATTGGAACGGAGAGTTGCTTCACAGTTGCAGTACCACCTGGCAGCAAATAATAAAAATATGATATAAATATACAAGCAATATAAAATAATATATGAGCTTTTAAATCCAGTTTTTATCCCTTGCATAGCACAGAGACTGCACTTCTTACAGTTATGGATGATCTCTTATGTACAACTGATTCAGGAGCTCTTAGGATACTGTTGCTTCTTGAGCTCCACTATACTGTATCTCATGATTACTCTTTCATATGCACAGTACTGGTACTACTGGATCCGCTCTTTCCTGCCTTTCCTCATATCTTAGTCATAGGCGACAATATGTAGCTATTCAGAATAATGAATCACTCTGTCTGTTTCTAAGGGTGTTCCACACCCTTAGTTTTAGGTCTGTTACTCTTTACCATTTACATGCTGCCACTTGGCAATATAAGACACCATCATGGTTTAAATTTTCATTGTCATGCAGATGACACTCACATTTTTGTCAGCCTCAGCCCTGCTCAGACTACACCACCACCTGCTTTATCTGACATATTCACAACATGAAGTCATGGCTGAGAATAAACTTTTTAAAACTGAACCCTAGCAAAACTGAGTTCCTTTTAATCGGCTCAAAGACACTAATATCTAGTTCATCTCTCCCTGGCATTAATATTGATGGGATTTTGGTAACACCTTCCTATGTCCGCAATCTCAGAGTTATCTTTGACCCTACACTCTTCTATGACATTCAAATCAATTCTGTAGTTAAGACTTTAGCATTTGTCCATCTTAAAAAAATTGCTCGTCTCCGACCATTTCTCAGCCTAGCGATGTAGAATCACTTGTGCATGCATTAGTAACATCATGCTTAGACTAGTATAATGTTCTTCCATCTGGTCTCCCTGTCAAAGCCCTTGATAGATTACAGTATGTACAAAATGCCACTGCTATGATCCTCACCTACTCTAAGAAGACTGACCATATCACCCCTGTCCTTCAGAGTCTTCACTCATGACATACTACATTCAATGTTCAGTATACAGTTCTCCTTATTACATAAAAGCTCTGCATGGTCTGGAAATACCTGGGTGAACTACATCCATATGCCCCATGCCATGGGCTCATGTCAAGAGAACTCGCTAGAATGCTCCTCAAACCAATTCTGGACAGCTTGGACTGATAGCACTGTGCATTATCCTGCTGAAATATTCCATCATTGTGGGGGTACATGAAGTCCATGAAGGGCAGTAAATGGTCACCAAGCAGCGAAACGTAGCAGTCACTGGTCATTGACATGTGTCAGCAGAGCAGTGGACCCAAACCATGCCATGAGAACACACCCCATACCAGTATGGAACCACCACCAACCTGCACAGTGTCTTGTTGACAACTGGAGACCATGGTTTCATGGGATCTGCGCCACACACCTCTGGTCTGTGCTGATGAGGAGTACTGTTTATGTTGGTCTGAGCTGATGAGGAGTAATGTTCATGTTGGTCTGTGCTGATGGGGAGTAATGTTCATGTTGGTCTGTGCTGATAGGGAGTAATGTTCATGTTGGTCTGTGCTGATAGGGAGTAATGTTCATGTTGGTCTGTGCTGATGAGGAGTAATGTTCATGTTGGTGTGTGCTGATGAGGAGTAATGTTCATGTTGGTATGTGCTGATGAGGAGTAATGTTCATGTTAGTCTGTGCTGATGAGGAGTAATGTTCATGTTGGTCTGTGGTGATGAGGAGTAATGTTCATGTTGGTGTGTGCTGATGAGGAGTAATGTTCATGTTAGTCTGTGCTGATGAGGAGTAATGTTCATGTTGGTCTGTGCTGATAGGGAGTAATGTTCATGTTGGTGTGTGCTGATAGGGAGTAATGTTCATGTTGGTCTGTGCTGATGGAGAGTAATGTTCATGTTGGTCAGTGCTGATGAGGAGTAATGTTCATGTTGGTGTGTGCTGATGGGGAGTAATGTTCATGTTGGTCTGTGCTGATGAGGAGTAATGTTCATGTTGGTGTGTGCTGATGAGGAGTAATGTTCATGTTAGTCTGTACGGATGGGGAGTAATGTTCATGTTGGTCTGTGCTGATGAGGAGTAATGTTCATGTTAGTCTGTATGGATGGGGAGTAATGTTCATGTTGGTCTGTGCTGACGAGGAGTAATGTTCATGTTGGTCTGTGCTGATGGGGAGTAATGTTGATGTTGGTCTGTGCTGATGGGGAGTAATGTTCATGTTGGTCTGTGCTGATGGGGAGTAATGTTCATGTTGGTCTGTTCTGCACCATACAGAATATAAGTAGCAGGGCTTTGGTACCTCACTGCCTTCCTGGTGCTACTATTTCAGATAGCTGAATATTTAATGTCCACACAGGTAATCTCATCGACAAAACTACCAAAGAACTTTCTTCTGGTAGGAAAAACAGAGAACACAGGAAAGCTGAGTGTAAATGGAGATGCACTAAACTTCAAATTCACTTCAATATTTATAAAGAGACACTAAATAATTGCGACTTAGAAGTACAAAGATCCAGGCAGTCTTTCTTCTCTGACATTATTAACAAAAACATTCATAATGCCTGCACCTTATTTCCAATCACTGACAGACTAACACATCCACCAGTACAGGCAGACCCTGGAGAAATGTAATGAATTTGCAACTTTCTTAGCAATAAAATCCTGAAGGTCAGACAGACAATCACTACTACTCCTTCTATAAATAAATCTAGTCTGCAGGTACTACCTTAAAATAACAAGGTGTATAATATAACCAAATTCACTGCTATTGACCTGAAAAGCTCTGCATCTAAAATCATCCAAATGTGTTCTTTTGCCCACACACTTTTTACAAGAAGTCCTGAGCTGCCTAGCAGCAGATTTATTGCAAATAGTGAATGGGTTGCATAAAAAAACTGCTGTGATTAAGTGTCTTTTAAAAAAAGAGCAATTTAGATGTCTCTATTCCTAATAATTATAGACCTATTTGTAATCTTCCACTCACAGGTAAAATTATTGAGAAAGTTGTCTTCACTCAGCTCAGGAAATTCTTAAATGAATACTATTGTTATGATGACTTCCAGTCAGGTTTCCGTTCACATCACAGCACAGAGCCTGACCTGTTAAAGATTATAAAGAATGACAAGATGCTGCAAAGACAGCAGTTCTGTATCTCCTCCTGTAATGCTTGAACAGACTGGATAACACATGGGAAAGGATCTGAGACCATTTCTCCATACAGAACCTCTCCAGATCCTTCAGATTCAGAAGTTCACACCTCTCCTATACAGGTCATAGTACAGGTGTTCTATGGGGTTTAGGTCAGGAGACAGGGACGGTCTTGGCAAATCTTGGTTGGTTAGTGAACCATCTTTGTGTTGATTTTGAGGTGTGTTTTAGATCATTGTCTTG